ATTGCTTGGATCATGTTTACTTACAGAGACACAAGTATAAATTTTCATATCAAGAGAGAAGAAGTGGTTGTCCATTGGATGTTTGTCACTTGGCATCATCTTAAACGACCCACTAGTCAAATCATGTCAATCCTAGCTGCCACAGACTTGTGGTCGCCTGACACAAACTGAAAATCAACCACCCTATTCCATAAAGGTACCTAAAAAGTACTAAAATTTGATTGGGGCACATTTATTGTAGGCTGTCAAATCCGTCAATACGCAAAGTATTTTTTATGTGAAATGTAGCAAGATTAACCTCACCTCATAAGTCCTACTTCAACGTAAATGATATCAACTTGAAGATGCAATGTAGCGAGATTAACCTCACCTCATAAGTCTTACTTCAACGTAAATGATAGCACCTTGGAAGAATCATTTCGAAGGAAATATACTTGTGTGCTTTGAGAGGTGGTCAATCACTTCAATTAAGGGGGCCAAGGGGTCACTCACCTTGCACAATAGCCCAATCACATCGGAGAGATGTGGGAGAAGTGAGAACGATGTGGATTGGAATGTGAAACTCGCATGATCTCTTCCATCACTTTTACTTAGGTAGCAATCACGTGACTTGCCTTGTCAAGTGAGGGTAACATACTTTATTAAAAACATATTTAGCCATGTAAAACAAAAAAAAGGTAAAAGTTACTTCATATTTTAAAATGAGTATATTACAATTTTTTTCATATTTTAAATAAAAAAATTAAACAACTTAAATTCAATTCTTATTTAAGTAACATGCTTATTATCAATAAAAAGCAAAACTACTTATTTTAAAGTCCTGCCGCCGGCCCAATTAATTTTATAAGGGAATTTTTTTTAATGAAAATTTAGTTTTTTAATGTATTTGTTCAATATAAAAATATTTTTTTGTACTTCCTTGACTCCGTCCTTGATGTTGCTAGTAGGAGACCCATCGAGCGTATTCACTTTTTTTACTTGGGTTTGACATAGCATGTTGTTAGTAGACGACGCTCCATCCAAATTCTCAGATTATAGAATTTTTAAAATTTATTGAATCCACCTCAAATTTTTCCAGAGCAATGGAGCAAATAACCCCCATGCTTTTGGCTGAAGACCCTTAAAAAATACAGTGTTATGAAAATTTCTGTGGTGCCACAAGTGCTCTAAACTGTGAAAAAAAAAAAAGTATTTGACTTTAAAACTTTATTAAAAAAGTAATAGAAAAAATATCATATTTTGGCCTACTTTAAAGTATTTTCGTCAATTTTTATTTTTATTTTTAGGATTTGTTTGGGCTCCATTTTTTTGGAAGAATCAATTTTATAATAGTGATTTTCTAAAAAACGTATTGTTAAAAAAAAATAAGAAAAATTTTGAATTCATTTATAAAATTATTTTATTGGAAGAATATGTAATAAAAAAATGAATTTTTAAAGAATGAAACTCTAAAATTAGTTTAGGATCCGTTTGGCATGAATTTTACTTTTACTTCTTATAAAATTTTTTTTTTTGAAGGAATTACCTTAATTTTTATTTAAAAATTAATATGATAAAATCTAACATTTGCATTGATGTTTAGCAGGGTGAGTCGCTTAAGTGTCAAAACTAAGAGGAGGTTTTTTTCTTTTGCTTATTGAACCAGTATATGTCCATTCCTTTTTTGATGACTCCCAATAGAGAATCTAAACTTGTTGAAGCACAATGATCTACTCACAACAACCTCCACTGTTGTAGAATCCGAGCATTTAAAAACATTTCATATTTCGAAAGTACTTTTAAGGAAAATCATATGTGATAAACTATCTTCTAATTATTAGAAGTATTTTTATAAACTTAATTAGTCAAACAGTTCAAAAGCAATTTTTGAATCTGAAAAGTTAGGGGATGTTTGGGAGAGACTCTCAAATTTTACAGTAAATCAATTCTCATTTTCAAAAATACATTCTTCAATAAAATAATATTTTTCATCACATCAATAATTTTTTCTTACTTTTAATTACATATTTCTCATCATATCACTATTTAAAATATATTATTTTNGCACATAAATTAATTCTAAAGTAAATTAATTCTCATTTTCAACCAAACATTATTCAATAAAATAATATTTTCCATCACATCAATAATTTTTTCTTCTTTTTCAACCACACATTTTCCATCGTATCACTATTTAAAAATCAATTATTCCCCAAAATATTCCTCGCAAACAGCTCTTAATTTTGACTTCTCAAAGGGTCAACGAATTTCACTACCCTAGACTGCTTTGACAGAAGAACCTTAAACAGAGGATGAAGAGAGAGAGAGATGAACAAGCAAAAATGGACGTAATGTGGCAAACTCCCGCCAATCCTCCACAACGCCATGATTACATCTTCCGCGACGGTAAATAATTTTCGAAATTCATTAATATCCACAAAAGGATGAAAAGCTAATTTTTCTGCTTTTTCTTGATAATATTATTGTTAATATTTGCTAATTTTTAAATATTTTTGTTGATTATTTTCTTAACATTATGCTAATTGTCTTTCAATATTTTGCAGGGATAAGATATGTTAGACCCTACTACTTTGAATTCATATCTCATGTGGGTATACATTTATTTAATTTGGCGATGGATTAATTATCAATTTAGTGAATAGTTGAAGTAAAAATACGAAATGGGATGTGGGTTTTGTGTACAGGCGAAGAATAGGTGGGCGGGGAAGACGATTGTAGATTTATTTGCCGAGGAATTCAAAGGCCGGCCGCACGATTATTATGTATGTGGGTTGTTTACAAATTACTTTCTTATTAACACATTATGAATTTGCTGTTTCTATTTTTTAACTTTTTCGCTTAAAGAATTTATAGCTGCATAGTGCAGCAGGAGCGGGCACTGGGTTTTTCCCAAGACAATTATTTCAAATTAGTACATTGCATTCTTGAACAATTTTTAAGCTTTTAATCATCTTTCACTTGTTACTTAGTGTAAAATTTTGTGAATGTAAAATACGATAAATGGATTGACAAATCATAGGTGTCTGCTGTGAAAGCTGGACGGATACAAGTTGATGGACAGATAGTACCTGTTTCGTATGTAGTTCAGCCATCGCAAAAAATAAGCCACTTTTTGCACAGGTTGATTATTCTTATTATTTTTCCGTTCAGGGAGGCCCCTTATTTTTATGTCACTAGTAGTTATTTTCATGCATTTCTAAAACGTGTTGTATTCGGAAGTGTCAGTTCTCTGTGTTTGAAATTTGAGTTATTAACTTATTAAAAGTTGTAGGCATGAACCA